ATTTTGTCATTTTCTATTCTTTCTTTTATTAATTCATTTTTTTTTCTTCTTTTTGTATTAATATATATATTGTAATTGATGTATTGAGATGAATATTTTTCAATGATATTAATTTATTTCATAATAATTTATCATTTAAATACAATTGTTGTGAATTTTGTTATTTCTTTTCATTTTCTTTTTAAAATAAGTATTTTCTAATTATCATTCTATTTTATTCATTATCATTTCTTTTTGTTATACTATATTCTACAAATTGGATATTTTTGTAATTCTTTTATCTTTATCTTTAGATTTATTTTTTTTTCAACTATTCAGATGTCTTAGGATTAATATTTTTTTCTTATTCTTATAATACTCATAAACATGATAATTTTTATTTCTTCACTATTTCTTTCAAATCAAATGATTCAAAATTTTAAATAGTAGTAATATAAACAATAGACTAAATGATAATGATGGTTATAAGAAGAACAATTTAAAATAAAGGTGTGAATTAAATAAAAAATGAAAATGAATAATGTGATGGTAACGTATTGTAATTAACTTTATAAGAAGTTTTTAATATAATGTTCAAACAATAAAATAGAAATTGAACAATTTTCTTATTTAAATTTATTAAATATCACTTTTAAATGAAAAAGATCGACTACTACACAACTTTGTTGATAATATAATTTTTTCTAAATCATAATCGAAGAATATTTTTTTGTTTATTAATGCTCATTGACTTTATTATTGATCCAATTTATGTTTTTATTATTTAATTTATTATTTGTAATATTTTAACTGAAATATTGATGAAAAAGAAATATTAAAAATAGTTTCAAAATATATTATTTAATTATGACTATTAATATGAAATCAATGATATAAGTAATAAATAAGGATTTATTATAAAATTTATTTAATTAATAAATATAAAATATACATTTGTGTATGTTCAAGTAATTAACATACAGAAATATGTTTAAAATAAGAATATTATTAATGTTTTGAAGAATATTTAAATAAATTATACTATAATAAAGGTTATAACATAAATAATAATCTAATAAATACTATTTCTATTAATTTCTATTTCTTTGTTATTTTCAAATAATTGTATTGAATAATCAAACAATAAATATAAATATTCTTCATATTTCTTAACCAAGAAAAATAGAAATGAAAGTGTTATTTTCAGAATTATCTTTTTGGTTAATGATTAAATATTCATAAAAATAATGTTCCAGTTATTTAGATTGTTACAATCAAATAAATAAAATCAAAATGTGATAGAA